CTCGGGCACGCCGACCTGCGACAAGCCGACGATCATGATGGGCCAGCAGCAGAAGCTCGCGGCGGCGATCAACGGCTGGCAGATGGTCGCGATGGGCGGCGACTTCGAGGAGCTCCTCCAGTTCTCCATGCTCCGCAACGGGCCCATCGCCGTCGCCATGAACTCGGACGGCATGGACTTTTACGTCAAGGGCGTCATGGGCGACGCGGACGAGTCGCACTGCGACGCGGGCACGCTCGACATCAACGCGCTTTTGGTCGCCTACGGCGTCGAGAACGGCAACGACTACTGGGTCGTCAAGCACTCCTGGGGCACGACCTGGGGCGAGGACGGCTACTTCCGCGTCCTCCGCGGCGTCAACCACTGCGGCATCGCCAACTTCGCGTCCCACTCCGTCTACAAGCCCGTCGAGCTCGACCACGCGGGCCGCGGCAACTAGGGCGCCCGCGGCGCCGCTCCCCCCGCCGTAGCACCCTCCTCTCTCCCGACAAACAAAACCAAAGTAACTACCGTGTTCTCCCGTTATTCTCCCGCAGCGTGTGCGGTGCAACGTACCAGCACCTTGCCGGAAGTTCTGAGAAATCGGGCTTGGGTGCTGCCCACGATGGCGACCGAGTCCGCGCCGCTCCTGCGGAAGCCGCGGAGTCCCCTGCGGCCGTTCCTGGTGACCGTGGTCGCGGGCCTCGGCGTCATGGCCGCCGCCGCCGTCTTCGGCAAGAGGCCGCCCGGCAGCGGCCGCGCGGCCTACCTCGAGGTGCAGCGGGCGGGCACCGGCCTCGTCGACGGCCTCGCCGAGGACCTCGAGGCCGACGCCGACGCGAAGGTGACGGTGTTCTACGACGCGAGCGTCGACGACCTCTTCGTCTACGGCGTCACGGCGCTGCTCGCGTTCGGCGTCGACGCGCCGTTCTCGTTCGAGGCGTACGAGACCATGGACGGCCTGCTCGAGCGGCGGCCCGCGGCGGGCGACGTCGTGCTGTCCCCGTTGCTCACGGGCCTCGAGACGGAGCGGAGCCTCGGCTGCGCCTTCCTCTTCTCCGAGGACCCGCTCCTTTTGAACGAGGACTTCATGGCGCTCCTCGCGTACGACCGTCCGCTGAACGTCGTCGAGACGAGCGACTGGGGCTGCCTGGCGGACTTCCCGACGACGATCCACACGCTCTGGAAGACGTCCTACAGCGCGAAGTTCCACAACGTGCGCCACATGCCCTACGGCATCGAATACTCCGACGCGGCCGACTTCTTCGGCTCCGTCGACGCGCTGGCCCTCCCGGCGTCGGAGCGGCCGCTCCTCGTCTACTTCCAGGGCAAGGTCAACTACCGCAAGCCGTCGCGCGCCGTCATGGACGCCGAGCTCGGGAGCGCCATGGACAAATTGGAGGCCGTCGCGCGCGCGCACGACAAGCGGGTCATCTACGAGCTCTTGGACGTGCAGGACAGCTACGGCGACTACGCGGGGCCCGACGGCGAGCCCATGTCCTACATGGAGATGCTCGGCAAGAGCCTGTTCGTGCTGTGCCCCTTCGGGGACATGCCCTTTGGGGGGAGCGTCTGGGAGGCGCTGACCTACGGCGCGATCCCTGTCGTCGAGGACCGCGACGACTACAAGGGCTGCGCGGACCCCCTGGGCTGGCTCCGCGACTCCGGCGCGCCGCTGCTCTTCGTCGACGACTGGGCGAAGCTGCCGGACATGCTCGAGCGCGAGCTCGAGGACCCGGAGCGGCTCGCGAAGCGCATGGCGGACCTCGCCGCGTGGTGGCGAGACGCG